CATTTTAATCGTAGTAGCATAAAGGATTAACAATGCAATAAAGAGTTAAATTTTTAGTTCCAAAATCATTAAAGTTATAAATTGATTGAACTAATTTTAAAAGCGAAAAAATTCATGGTGCATCTTTGACTTTGTACTCGTTTCTTTGTCTCTTCCCTTGATTCCTCCGCGCTATTCCTTTTCTTGATCTGTTCAGCAAAAGACAAACTACCACTTTTGAAACACTTAGATATAGCTTTCTTTACCTCTACGCTTGGTCGCTGATATCGTTGTAATGATCTTGGGTCCCTATGTCCAGTTACTTCCATAATGAGCTTCTCAGGAACGCCTGCTTCAAGACCTCGTGTAGCTGATGTCGCTTGCAAGCTGTGGTTCGTGAAATGCCCTTCGATTCCGGCTTTCTGACATAACCTCCCAACAGTATTGCCCAAAGGGTTATGCCCAACTGGGTTTGCCGTAAACCACTCTGTTGACCAACAAGATAAAAACACGCATAAGTGCAAGTTCGCTCAAAAACAATAAATGAATTAGAATACAAGACTGCATATACCTTTATCTTTCACACTCCACTTTCGCCTTGGAGAAAGATAAAACATTTTCTTCTCAAGGGCAGACATTTTTCCACGTACTTTTTGTACAACCAGACCAAGCACCTATCGGGATTTTCTTCGCTCGCGTAATGTTCCACCTTTTTTCCCTTGAAAGCTGGATGCTTCAAACCTCCTGAGTTGTTCTTTTCTCCAAATGAGCAGTAAACTAGTTTTCTGTCTCGTTTTCTTTGTCTGGCACTAGTTTGAGCTGATTAAACTGAAGGTTACGATGCTGCTTTCCACTCCTTAATGCAAAATTTTTCCCAATTAGAAAGACCAGTGTATCTAACAAAACTTGTGGAGATTCAGATCCTAATAAATGCAAGCTCAACAACTTTTCTTCTTGTTCACCAGTGAACGATTCGGCTTGCTTTACGATTGCACTAACCCCTTCTGAGGTTAAACGCTTCATTTCTGCATCTAAAGAATTTTGAAACATCTTGAAAGATGGATTCTCGAACACAGTAAGTTCTGGTTGCCCATTTTCTCTTAAGTGTCGCCAAAATTCCAGAGGAGGTTGATCAAGTGTCACGTGATCAAATAGACCAATCACAGTGAGACAACTTTCACAAATCGCAAGTTCGACTATCCATAGCAGAAGACAAAAGAACCCCTAAAAATTATACGAATTCTTAACTACAGTTGCTTTTAAAATAATCCTTCTCAAAAAGTATAGTCCAAAGATCAAACATGTGAGAGAACGATTAAAGGTAAGCTTTCAATTATGTAAAATTTAAGTTTATTTGCGAGCTTTCACTTTCACGCCTTGACAGTTGAAGTAGATTGTGCCTTGACTTTGCGACATTATATTAGCTGCCTTAATGGATAAATAACAGGTATCATAGTATCTATAGCTTCTTTGATATGTCATTAACCGAAAACCCAGGATGGACCCGCATGGACCCGTTTTAGATTTTGAGATATTCACGATTAAACAAACCCTACTCGATGACTTGAGGTGCGAAATCTGACATACATTCGCATAAGGACAAACCAGCTACAAAAATGCATTTTTGCTTTGAACATAAGACATATGCGGTCTTTGTTATCTGATGTAACACGAAGTAATTCGTTTAATACATGAAAACCTCAAAAACCTATTATTTTTAGAGAAAATGTCGTCAAAACGTCCGGTGAAAACCAGCGGTGATACGCCTGGTAAACCGAAGGCGAAAAGAAGTTTAACTAGAGGAACAAGAAAATCTCTCTTCTCACATAAATCAGAAAAGAAAATTCCAAGCTTAGTTCCTGAAACAAATAGTGAGTGGACAACGAAGGAGCTACAGGGTTTGGTCCAGTATATTGCCCTTTATAACCCACTGCAAACATCAAATCAATGGCCAACCACCAAGTACAAGGCCTTTTGGTCCAACTGTGCAGAAGCTGTGCAGCAATATTCAAGAAAGTCCATCAGAACTGGTATGTAATTCCATTTAGTAAATGGAAACTTTTAATGAAATCAAAAAGTACATGTGACACGTAATATAAAATATTTTTTTCCATGACTTGATATGCATCCAATCCATTCTCAGGTAATGCCTGTCGAGCTAAAGCCTTAAGACTTAAGGATAAATTTTCAACTATAGAAGAAGCCGAAGAAAAGTTGAATATTGACTATTTTGAAAATGAAGGGGAAGGAATTAAACAAACAAGTGAAACATTGAAAACACCAAAAGGCTACAAATGTCCAGAAAGCTGCCTGTCTCCTGTATTTGCATGTTCGCCATCCAGAAGAGAATCAAAACACTAATGATGTGACAGCTGCAAATGTCATTGAAGGGATTGTGAAAAACAATAACAAACTGACAAAACGACAGAGAGAACAGTTGCTACAAATATTGTTCACTCAGTATGTACAAGGCATAAATGACAACATTCCTTCTAGCTATGTAACACGTAACTTTGTAGGAATTGTTGGCAGAGGAATATCTACACTTCATCACGGTGCGAAAGAGAATCTTTTTTACCACCTAGGGAAATGTCTAGAAAAGACAGAGAATGGTTCTACAAGAATGCCATTAGAAAGAATGCCATTTGGACTTATATCTCATAACTTGAAGTTCTTTAGTGTTGATAATGCTGGTACACTAAAGGCTCCAGATGATTACAAAGGCTGGAGGATGGAGACAATGTATTCACGCTTTGGCCAATCTTGGGCAGCACTTCATCTTGGTCCCATGTGGTCTTATGAGGAGTCCTCTGTGGAAAATCRTSCCAAGGARTCTGACTGCAATCTGGTAACAATGGCCTTGGAAGAATCGGGCCTATCAAGTGTATGCTCAGCTTCACCTGAAACTAGCTTGCATTCCTTACCATTGACAACTTGCAAYAATGGGAAATCTGTCTTGGTGACCTCTACACCAGAACCTGTGCAGAYCACTTCCAGTAATTCAAGCCAACCCTCGTCAGCTGAAGTAGTAGCAAGGCATAGCTACTCACACTTGTGGGCAAATCTTACAAAACAACAAATTGATGAATTAAAGGATGCTGATGTTTCTACACGGGAAGTAGAAGAGCGCTTCAATATGAGGCCTACAAGACAGCAAAGGCTTTCAGTCCCTAAGTGTTCAACAAAGGTATTGATATTAGTAGATTTTGTTATATAGTATTGTATATGAAAAATGTTTGTGATGAGCAAACAACAAACAGTGAATATGCCAATTATTGAAATCGTGTTTAATTGAGTTTTTTTATTATTTATCAAAATTGCAGGCAAAAGTAAACATTGCAGGACCAAGTGCTATAACAATTCGAAGGAGCATTGCTAACCGTGGGTTTACTAAAACAACAGATATCCAGGTATGAGTAGACATACATGTTGCTTACAAAAATATATAATATCTTGATACAACCACTTGCAAATGAATTTGACCAATATCATTATATCTTTACTGGTATTTTCATTTAACTTCTTTTTTTTTCCTCTCTAAATGACATAAAAAATCAAAACAACTCCTTGAAATTATGATCATTTAGGGTTGTTGAAACATATTCTGCAATTTGAAGACAAAAGGTTTCATTTCGAAATATCAGTTCCCCTAAATGTACATTGATATTTTAGTATGGGTTAAATCAGAATTTCTTCAAAATGTTTGTAGTGCTAGACAAATATAACATAACAAAATATAAAACAAAGTGTGTGTAACTGGTTGTCTTCTAAACAAGGTTTTCCTCTTTCAGAGAAAGGCTCTGAAAAGTGCTCATGAAAGCAACAAAAAGGGGAGGTGGTGGATCAAAGCCGATGCTACAGATGTCAACAAAGGCCTGAGGGAAAGTATGAAGAATGTATGGTCTGGAGATATTGACTTTGGTGATGGAAGCTTGCAAAAAAAGCATGGTGAATACCTCAAGCAATTGAAGTTTATCAGAACGATTGGTCTTAAAGATCGCGGTGCCATTGAAAAGATCACTGAAGATTTAAAGAAATTGAAAACCACACTTGATGATGATGAACTCTTCTTGAATAAAGCTTTAGACGAATCCAGAGCATTGTATAATGCTCAAGTTGCAAAATCCAATGTTCCAGAGCAATCACTGTTTGCACTTGCTTGGGATTTGGCTGGCATTGAGAAGTTGTTGCTGCAGAACAAGAAGCTTCATGAAGTAGTGCATAACACATCTGAAAGGCTCGCAAGGCTCACTAATGCTAGCAAAAGAGGAAATCTGGCAAAGGAACTGCGACAACTGAGAGAGGAGTTGGAGACATATACCAAGGGCAGTTATGGAAAGAAAAGAGAGGCAGCCTCACATCTACTAGTTTTCATGATTTCAGATGAGCTTAGAAACTTCAAGCCCTTTGCCATTCCAGTCCGTGTTACTACGTACAAATCCATCACAGATGATCAAGTTCAGAATTTAAAGAATGAATTGAAAGATGTGATGACAGGCATAGGGATGAAAGTCATAGGTATGCTTGTAAAACAACAATAAGGCAGTGACCATTGATTGATAGCTTCAAATCTTGATGCATCCCATTAAGTCAATGATAAAAAAGGATTGCATTTTGTGATAATGTTAACTGTATTTTTTGCAGGATTTGTTACAGATGGAGAGTGGAACAAACTTCGTACTCAAGGAACCAAAAGATCAATTTCCATTATTCAGCTAATGATGGATTCCAAAGCTGATGCAAAACACACTTCAGTTAGAATGATTGATCAATATCTAAGGCCAGGTACATTTAATAATAGTTATGGTTTCATTCTTATTTTAGGGTCTTATTTAGTTCATCCATTTAATATATTAGAAAAAATTCGCATTTTCAAATATGCTGTTGCTATTCTGAGTTTTGAACTGACTATTACTGATGCATGTTATTTATTATCTAGTAACCAGAAACCCTGCAAGAGCATTAAGAGAACATGATGCAGTTCCTGTGGAGGATGTAGAATGGTTGGCAGAATTCATGGATGATAATAATGTTCCATTTGAGAGGGCAATCCACATATTGAGACGAAAACACTATCCTTTCCAGCATAACCCCCATCCTTGGATTAACGGTATGTGACATTGTTGTGAGTAACCTCAGCACATTACAGGAAGGAACATTTCATTTTGCTAAATGTGTGAGAAGTTGTTGAAGAGAAAAGGAGAAACACTTGGTGTAGGTCAAACACTGGGAAGAGTGTTTGGTTTAGCTTTTAAAGAGTTGTTAACCTGCCTATTACAATATTGCCTGTCAGTGTTCTATGAATGAAGTAATTTTTGTGACACAAAGTTATGTTTAAATTTGTTATTGATTCTTGTCTTTAACAACAATTAAAGCAAACTTTGAGTGGCTAAAAGAATTGCCCCCAGAATACATGTAGATTGCAAGAGCTGATAAGAGACATTTCTTAACTTGCATTATGTGTATGTCACATGTTTGGGTATCTTTTTATTTCTAGTCATTTTTTGTAGGTTATTATTGCATCCTAAACCAATGAAATCAATAATTATTATTGTGCTTCAGGTAAAGAAGAGACGAAGAATGAATGTCTAAAGTCACTCATGGCAATGTACTTATTCAAGTTCAAGATCAATGCACATCTTGCAGATGGAGTTGACTTCAAGAGGCATCTATATGTGCCAGAATATGATGAAGTAACGAAAGAACCAGAGTACCAAAGGGAAGACCATAACCATGTCCTCAAGAGAATTACAGCTAGTTTGAGGGAAGGTGTCATCCCGGGGGTTGATTTGCGATACTTTGTAGATGCACTCAATGACCCATATACAGGCCTAACATACACAGCTCTGACAGGGCAGAGGAAGCAATCTGTGCCAGATTGTGAAAGAGTGTTTTCAAGAGGAGTCCTACAATTTATGTTTGATAATAATCACCAAACAGAAGCTATTTTTTTGGAAACCATACGAAATTGGCACAAAGCAAGTGATGGGAGAGGTTTAGATGAAGGTACTAGAAGCCGGTACAATAAAGCAATGCTCGATTGGATCCTTCAAGTTTGGATGCCATGGTTTAAATATGAAAGGGATTATAGCACAATGGATGTGAACAGGTAATACTAACAATGATTCTCTTTTTCAGCACTAACCTTCCTATGTACCTTCTTAGGTGCAAATAAATGATTTCAGTAAGTTATAAATTTAAATTTCAATATCAATATTCTGAGACCTGTTGTTAAAAGGATGAATAATGTTTTGCATGGATCAGACAAGTTTTCCACTACATGAATTATATACATTTTATCAGATGGATTCAATCTTGATAGGACTGACCCCTGTTGATGAGCTTTTCAAATATGTCCAAGTATTTCATTATTTTTTCTAGGCCAATCAAAGGAATTCAAGGATTAACGAGAGAGGTTGTCGTTGCTTTAGTAGCAAATATTGAAAGCCAGGAACACAGACGCATAGATGGAGACTTACGTGCACTACCTCCAGAACACCCCAGAGCTAGTTCCACTGATGATGTGGAAGGCTTTTTTTCAATTGTACATGGTATGTTGGGACAGTCATTTGACCTTAAAACTTTCTTTGATCAATATCCCAAGATCATCAATGAATTCTACAAACGCATTGATCCAAATACACCTTTCTACTATTGGGCATCAAAAAATGAAAGATACCATCTTGGTCCCCTGAGACCATTCAATGCACCGTCTGGAGGTACGGAGCGCCTTGACAAGGTCGTCATATCAAGAAGAGCAGATCCTGGGGTATTTGAAGCAAACCGTGCCTCAATACCTCAGAGGGGACGGTTGTCTGTTAGAGCAGAGTGGCACAGAGCTCCAGAGGGTTTGCCCCCCCCCCCAGAGACCACAGAATTTGTAGTTCTTATACTGTAGTTCATTATTTGTATCATTGTATTAACCACTTCTGGGTACTGTTCATAGTACATCAATTTTAAAATGAGTGGGAAACCATACCATAGCTTTGAATATAACAAGCCAAATTACTGCAATAATAATATTACTCAGTAGGAATTATTATTGCTACGGTCAATTTCCCATTCATATGATCAACACTCTAATCGTATATGGCTAAAAAATGTTTTGATACTCAATTACATATTTTTATTGTACAAATCCAATTGATCATGCAATCATGTTAATAATATTCTATTTTTATAAAAGGTTCTCAATATAAAAATATAAATTACAAAGTTTGATAAATATATTTAAATATTTGCAGTAATTCACTGCATTATAAATGTACATATACCGAATGGTTAACTGGAACTACCTAAAAATTATGGTATTACATATTTTCATAACATACTCTACATGTAACTGTGATTATTTAAAAAATTGGTCTACAATCCAATATTAGAAACTTTGTCTTGCAGCTACATGCATGAACATGTAAAATAAAAAAGTTTGATGCTTTTTCAGTTTGCTTGCCTGTTTCCTAACAACATTTTCTGATAAATAAAAACTGCTGTTGAACATAATGACTTATTATGTGATAACTTATTTGGCACAATAAGATCTGTGATATTCACCTAATTGCAAAAATATTTTCCAAGAAATTGGACATAAACAATTTTAAACTAGAAATTGTTTGATTAAAAATAAAGGTGTTCAGTTAAAAGATCCTCTTTGTTTTTGATGTGTTCCTTTGTTTCTACATTGTATGTCTCTAACTCCCAGGACAACAATTTTGCAATTAGGTCAGTATAAATTGCAGATCATTTTTCAAAAACAGTGACAGTCGTGATTGACAATTGCTTCATACGATTTAAATTTATATATGCATAAAAAATGCTCTTCATGTTCATGAACGAAAACAAATGAAAATGTAAGGCTGGTATTTAGTTTAGACTATCATGTTCATTATTGGACTTGCTTGCTTCTTTGGAGAACAAAGGGCTCCCAAGATCCTTGTCGAGTAAGCAAAAGCTTCATATAGAAACCAGGACGGTAAAAATGTACTCGAAACTTAATGTGCTGAATTTGACTGCTAATTAGCAGGTCAGACTGAAGGATATTGTGGACATACCCTGTAAGCTCTGATGCTATGTATCCAACATGATGCCACTCATCTGAGAAATTTACTTGTACTGAAATGGCATTTTTGTCCTTTTCATTGTCTGGTTCTGGAACGATCCTCAGTTGAACATTGTTGTCAGGCTCCCTCATTTTTTCCATAGCTTTCTCAAGATGATCTTGTGTTGTTAGTGAGTGGGCTACCCCAATAACTTTGAAGGGAAGTGTGTGGGTTATGGAATTGTCAGGTTCATCGGAGTCTAACTTTTCATCTTCACTTGAGCTACATGTATCACTAAACAATTCCACGCTGTCTGCACTTGAATGATATGGTAAGTCATCATCAGTGTCATCGTCTCCACTGACTTCACTTGGAACAACTTCTTGCTCATTTTCATCATCATCATTAACATCATCTTGTTCATCCTCATTATTATCATCATCATTGTCATTTTGACTCACTTCTTCTTTTGAATGCATATTCTGTAGCACTGTCCCTTTAGTACATCTAGAACAATTACATTCACAGGAATCTGTGTCAAGCCAAGGCATACTTGAGTATGGGTCAGAGCCTTCGTAGGTGGTGAGACTAAATGGTGGTACAAATTGGAGGTCTGTAGTTTCTACTTCGAAGTCCCAAATGACAAGTCTTTTCATGTTTGGGATTATCTGTCATAAAACAACAATAACCAAAACTTGAATGAGAAATCAAACTTTATTTCTATTACAAACTACGGGATGGTGTACAGTAAAATAAGTCTGAATTTCTACGCAAATTTAATGTTTATGAATCCAAGAAAATGTCAAACTTTTGAAGCAAACCATTGTCTATCATTCACAGGAAACAGGAGCTACGCCGAATCAAAACAAAAACAAAACGTTGATTTTTAAGTCTTATCGAGTTTATTGTAAAGTTTTCCTTTTATTAGCACTAGCGCACCATACTATTGTACTTTAATTGCATGATACAACTTCAAACGATCAACGAAAATCATTTGAAATAACAAGAAAGACGATTTCACGACTTACGACGAGATATTTGCATAAAGTTCTCACCTCCAACACAAACTGCTTCAAAAGGCATTTCTCTTTAAAAGCTAAGCTTTACAAAGCAGAAACTACTGTTCAACCTTTTTAGATAATCGTTGTACTTACCTCGATTTCATAAGAAGTGGTTACACGAACGATGCAGGGCGTTAGAACTTTTGAAAGGCCGAGTACTTTCCCGCAGTTAGCGAACATCGCTATCCGTCTTTCTCGCTGGTTATCGACAAAACTAACGTGTCCTCCGACCAGATTGACTGACATAAAAGGCACTGCCTTTAGAGTAAAAACGTGAATAAATTTGAAATCGATGCAATGTAAATACAGGCATCCATCGGGCTTCAAAAAGTTTACAATAAGCGGTTTCACAGTTATGGCATCCATTACTACCAGCGCACGAGATGTTCATTGTTCGATGGTCAGAAGCAAATGAACCGTATATCCGTTTTTGACCCAGAAACCCTTGCGCGCTATGATCACCCTCCTCTGGCTAAATTCCACAACAAAGCTGGTACAAAGTGTTAGGTGGATATGGTTCTCCAAGTGTTTTCTTTTTCCTCACCTCCACTACAAACTTACTGAGCCAATACGCAAGTTCTTCTTTGCTCAGACTCGATACATCGGGATTGACCACCGTGTATAAATCAGACGTAATAGTTGCGTTGGCATTTCTACGCTCCTCGGCCCACTCAGTCCACGTACGCACACACCAATTAGTACTCCATTTCGTTCCTTCAGGTATCCTTCTCGTTTCTGGTAGCACGTTCGGCATCAGAAACTACTGTTATGTTTCTCTTCTTTTTCTCTTCTGTAGACGTATCGTTATCTGCAGGCGGAGGTAGTTCCAAATCCGAAAATAAATCATGAATGTCGAAGTTCTGTAAAGAAACGCTAAACCTAGAAAAATCGTCCTCTCTGTTCGACATAGTTACCAGAATGAATGAATGAATGTTAAGAATATTTGAAAACCATATTCAAATTACGATTGCATTTTCTCGCATGGTCAAGCAGTT